GATAAATAATAAACAAAAGAAAATAAAGATATAAAATAAATAAAATAAAAGATATAAAGAAAAAGAATAAAAAAAAGAAAGAAAGAATAAGAATATAAAAATAAGAATAAAAAGAAATAAAAAATAAAAAAAGAATTATAAAACAAATATAAAGAATGATATATCAATCAATAAGAAAGAAAAGAATAATTAAATTATTTAAAAATTGAAATTAATATTGATGTTAAAACATTATATTTAACAATATGATAATTAATTTGATTCATTTATTGTATTATATTCAAATATACATAGAGAATTTAATTGAAAATAAAAAATGAACAAATTTCACATTAGAAAATAAAGAACATTATATATCATTTTTATTACTTAATTAAATATTAAATTTTAAACCAATTAACTAAAACTTTCATTTAATTATCTGTTTTTTACCAGGTAAACATATTTCCAAATTTTTGAATGAATTTACCTGTTGATTTTTCTCCTTGTTTTAATTCATTCATTCTTCTTTCAAGTTCTACCTTAATCTCTTGCTTCTCTTTTCTGTTATTGACTTTTTCATAACTTCTATCATTTCATTTACTTGTTTAAGTTCTTTATATCCTGCTATTCGTTTTTGATATCCACTTTTCTTTTCTTCATTTTCTGTTTGAATTAATTGGTCTAAATATTCATTTGAACTAGTAATTTTATCATTTAATACAATTTCTGATAATCTGTTAATGCACTCTATAATTTCTACTTCTTTATCATAACAATCCATTTGAATTTTATAATATTCTTCTTCTAACTTTTTTAACATATTTTCTGCATTAGCCATACCTTTTTTACCTTCATTATATCTTTCAAGTACTTCTTGTGCTGTTTGTTGTTTTTTTTTTCTGTTACATACTCAAATCTAAATCTTGAGTTTGCATGTTCTGTATAATAACAACCACATACATTACAATATCCATTATCACCAATGCAATAGCAGCCCTTTTTTATATCTCCTTTAATATCACATGGATAATGACATGTTCTATTACATCTCAAACAATTAGTTACATATTTTCCTGGTTCTAATCCATTCTTTTTTTGTACTGTTACATTTACAGTATAAGTAAAATCTTGATTATTATTAACTTTATCACGGTTTTTATAAAATATTTCATATGTCTGTTTTATCTCTTCCATTTTTGATAAGCCATTATTTAATGATTCTCTCAATCCTTCAATTTCAACAATGATACGTTCTCTTCTCTTTAAAACTTGTCTGGATTTATCTAATGATTTTCTTGGTAGGTTTATTATTTTTTGAATAAAGTCATCAAAACTCTTCATACCTAACTGCCAAAACATTTGTGTAAATTCATCTTCAGTATTATTATTATAAATAGCTGAGTTATTAAATTTTAAATACCATGGTTCATTTGTTTCTTTAATAACTGAACTGAAAATACAATCTTTTGATTGTAATGAGTTAATAATTTGTGGTGTTTGACCATCACAGAATGTGAGCATAGCAATGAAATTCTTTTTTACATCATTTCCAAATAAATCAATAATATTATCAAGTATATATTTTTGATTTGCTGTTAATCTTGGATTACTTGATTGTGCAACAAAACAAATAGCATTTAAATCTGATACTTTTGTTTCAAATGCTTCTTTTATTTGTCTTGTTATTTCAATATCAAAAGCAATTCCTCTAGTATCTCCAAATCCAGGTGTATCTATTATTTTTATTGGTGGTGTTCTTTTTGTTCTTTTAATATTATAAATTGAAACTTTACTTGTTTGACTTTTAGATTGATCTTTACTCTGTTCTAAATTATCTTCATTTATAATTATATATCTAAAATCATCTGTTATCTTGATTCCATATAATGCATTTATAAAACTATTTAATAATGTTGTTTTACCACTTCCAATCTGTCCAACAACTAAAATACCAATTGCGTCGTCCTCATCTACTTGATTAAATGGTTCATTTGGATATAAATATATTTTCAATTTTCCTTTTTCATGGCTTTTCAATCTTATACTTCCGTTAATTGGAATATTTTGTTCAGATACATCTGTGGTATCATTTGTATAAGCATTAAATACATCTGTTGTTATATTGGTTTTATCGTCTTCTTCTTCTTTTTTCTTCTTCCTCTCAAAATAATCACTATAACATGTGTTCCATTCTTCTTTCTTTTTGTTAAATGATTGTGTGATTTTATCACTTTCTTCTGGTTTTCTGAATATTTTATTTTTCATGATCATTTCTTCAATTGAAATGATTTTATTGATTATTTCATTCCGTGTTTTACTTAGTATTTCTTCATCTGAATTACATTCTTTTATTATTTTATTCATTTGATTCTTTATTATTTCTATTTGATTAATTGTTTCTTGACTTTTTTCTATTATTAGTTTTCTTCTTCTTTCTGTTTCATCAATTCTGTTAAATATTCCTTCTCCTCTTTTAAT